CTTCCCGTTCTTTAGAATCCCAGGTGGTCCAAATTTCCGGAGACCTCCACTACGGCGTCTGTCATAATCATATGGTGGTTTTGGGACGTTCAACCCCAAAAATCAATCATCTTCCCGTTCTTGCCGTTACTTTTGAGACATTTATTGCGTTTATACAATCGGATAGCTATCATTGCAACTACAGCTTACGCTGCTCCAATATCACACCGGTACAAAATCTATGTCAAAAGCAGTTTTGTGACCTGAAGTTGCTATGTGGTAGAATGCCTTATCACCACGAAGTGCGCTTGCATTGGATTCCTGGTAGTATCCTGATCATTTTTTAGCTGTTGATTGTTCTTGATTCTTCGCATAAACGCTACCGATGTTGGGTTTACTTAACTCTGTGTAATTTAAATAACCAGTGTCTATTTTCGCCATTACTAGAAGTAAACAAACGATCCATCGCCTGGCGCTTGTCCACTTGCTGCGGCACGTGGTATACCGGTAAGTACTGCACGTGATTGAAGGAAAGAATATGATGACATACGGCACAGGATTCACACGTCATGTGAATACTAAAAAGTGGAATTTCTAAAACTCTCATACTTTCTTCTAATTTTGTTGTATGCCATGTTGAAGGGATGATCATTAGAGCACCCGTACAAAGGCGGCTAGATAGATAGATAGATAGATAGATAGATAGATAGATAGATATATAGATAGATAGATAGATAGATAGATAGATAGATAGATAGATAGATAGATAGATAGATAGATAGATAGATAGATAGATAGATAGATAGATAGATAGATAGATAGATAGATAGATAGATATGAATTTCAGTCTTTCATAGACAAACTTCCAGACACTACCTTGTCCTAGTGGACAATGATGCACATAGTAGCTTCTTGGGTGACTCTAGCTGCGATGCAAGAGGCTGCCTGATTTAACAGTTTCCTTTTTCTGCCGGCACGTGCCTCCTGAATTGCAAAGATCAAACATATTACAGCATCGCTAACAATACCTGCTCAACAACAGACCTGAGCATAACATATTCTTCGCTCCTGCCTCTACTCGATCAAATGAAAAGTCATTATTATTCCGTATGGTAGTGAGCGTTTTCCCATAAATATTAGCACATAAAGAACAAATACATGTCCTGCACAGCTTACCAAATGGCTCACCGACAAGGCCAATTAGGAAAAGTTCTAAAAAATGGCTCAATTAACTTAGACTGAAATGGCGGCGTTTAACATAGAGGATGATGTGTGCTACTTTACAGCTTTCTTGGTTCATGCAGCAACAATATGTATCCCCCAAACATGTGCACCGTAAAGCAAACGACGAGTCCAATGGGGGAAGAGTGAGTGTCGTAGCATCGAAGTTGCTTAGAGACTCACCCACAGTCGAGAATCTTGTAAACATTAAGAGCAAGAAGTCGCAAGGAAGGAGTATGCCCCGACAGGTGAGAAGGGAAAGTTGGCATAAATTTTTATCAGGCATTAATTCATACACACATGAGTGAGAGTCTGCAACATGGTTGGTAATGTGACAGGACGACAAGCACACTCACTTTCTTTAGTTAACACACAAGGGGAGAGTTTGGAAGACCAGGTGAACACTCTCGGGGTCCACTTGAAACAGGTCTGCAGCTCATCAAGCTATAGTGAAGCGTTTGACTGGTAAAAAAACCCAAAAGAATAACAAAGATTGCAGCACAAACCCACAAAACACGAGGCATACAATGAACTACAAGACTCACTATGACTGACCTACAAGACTCACTTACCTGCTGCAATAAATCTACCCCAAGCCCGGACTGTGTGGCATCTGAAATGCTGAAACGCATGCCCACTGAAATTCTACAAGCTCTCCTCACGCTGTATAATGCGAAACGGCTTTCGTCGAGCTACCCTCTGCCTGGATGGAAGCTATCGTTATCCCAGTTCTAAAATAATGCAAGGAGTGGTCGTCAGATTCAAGCTACCTGCCAATAGCGTTAACCTGCTGTTTTTTCAAGGTCTTTGAGAAAATAATGAACCGGCGCCTGATGCACTTCCTTGAGACTAATTGCCTACTTGAACACAACTAGTGTGGGTTTCAACAGGCTCGGTCCACCACTGCCTACGTTGTCCGTATCGAGGCAAAAATTCGTGTTGTTTTGTTCATAAGCAATTTTTGTGTATTTTTTTATGTGTAAACACAATTGCCCCCCGAGATGCTCGTGCGCAGTGGTAAGTGGTAGATATAAGTAGCTTGCCATTTGACTGGTGAAGAATGTGCTCCGGGGTGGCTCAGTAGTTAACGCCTCACTTTCACGACGCAGAGGTCCCATCTTCGATTCCGCGCGTCGGAGTGTTCTTTCTTAATTTTTTTATTTCTCGCGTTTTCATATATATAGATACGTATACACACACGGTGCATGACATCGACGCCGACGGCCACGTTGACACCGACACCGACGCTGGCGGCAAAATCCAGAGGAGAGTGTCCATATAATTGTTATTGCAATGAAAAATTCTTGTCATACGAACATTGCTGCTGCCAAATGGCTCACAATTGATCGTGTCGTGTTGTGTTGTAAATGACTTACTCAACTTTTTTTAGTGTGTGAGTGATGAGTTATATTGCACGGACATCTCCGAGTACAATGCTTGTTGCTCGTGTATTCGGCAAATTAGTGTGCGTGTAGGTCCGTGTGTAGGAGGAAGGACTCAAGATGCTTTAGTTGCACTGAGATTTCTTCTCTAGAAGTTGGGTGTGTTTGTTCGTTGTTTTGTGATCCAGTCTGCGTAAGTATACTATTGTGATTGTACCACTCGAGAGGCTTGGACGTGCTGAGAATTCGCATCGAGTCCTGCGCACACACGCGTGTATTTGTTATTGTTTTGTTTGTGATCGAGAGGTTTGCGCGCCTGTTAGTGTCGTATACGCGAGGACAAGAAGGCATTTGGTGATGACCGGGAACAAAGAGTTTGGGCAGCACCTGCCGTTTTGCAAGCGTCCGCGCAGTAGTGGCGCGGACAGCAGCTGCCTGTCATCGCCGAAATAGAGGACCTGCACGCAGACTGAAAACGTGCATAACGCAGGACCAGAGAACATTTAGTGGCAGCTGCAGCACATTATTTCACGGAATGCCTCATTTGAGCATACCCTCTAGAAGTGCCATGATACAAGACGATGCTTCCCCACTTCCCCGACAACGTTTTCAGAGGAAACTTTTGTGCGAACTTCTCCACGTTCGATTACATATAGTCCGCTTTTATGAATCCATGAGGCACCTGAAGACAAATATGCGTATGGTGATTCCAGTGAGGAAATCCATCGCTATAGCACTGTACCGCCTTTGTATGTCCGTTGAAGATTGAAGTCTGGCCATTATATTTGGTGTTCACTGTTCCACGGTCAACCTTGTTTTGCGCGAGTTCCGCACTACTGTCGTTCACTGTCTGGAATCGCGCTTCGTGAAATTTTCTCAGGGAATATGAAGTCGCCAAGCATATTCGAAGATTCGAGGCACTGACAGACTGACAGAATAGCCTCAGATATGTGACATACCAAAAGTTGTTCCCCAAAATAGAATGCACTTTATTAAGTATAAGGTAAGGTACAGTGTTATACTGTTAGTGGTTGTGCATCACACTTACAAGTTTCTCCTCACAAATGTGGGATCGCCTGGGTGAATTCACGATGCCAACGTCAGCCGAAGGTGATGGCTTCCGAAAGTGTTCACTGGGAACTGATTCACAAAAGACAAAAGGTTGTTAAAGGATGTGTGCCTTGACCCTGTGCTGCTTGCCGACCACGCTTTTCTATTGCAGGCTATCATATGGAAGCCTCCTTCACACCCTGGTCCGCGTGGTTTTTCCACGCATCTGGTCAACTACCGCCTGTCGTGTGCCAGGCGGGTAGTTGAAAATGCATTTTGTTGACTGAAGGCACGCTTTCGCATACTGTATGACCTCAAGCGTGACATCAGCAACGTCAAAAGCGTCATTCGGGCCTGTTGCGTTCTACACAACATTTGTGAGCAACAGAATCATCTCTATAATGCCGATTGGGTGGATGCTGTCGTAAATGAGGACAGACGACGATTGCAGAGAGTCTGTACAACAAGACAAGTGGAACCATGTGGTGCAGCTGTGAGGAATGCCCTTGCCGAACAGTCGCATAGCAGTAAAAGACCAGAGGGTGAAACAATTTGAAAGGAAAGCTTGCTGTGCTCTGTGTGTGCACCCTTTTGCATTTTCTTGTGTAGTGTCTTACAGTTCCTTTGAACTGTCTGTGTTGATCTGGCATGATATAAATTTAGGGGTTTACAGTTGTAAAATGATATCATGCGCAAGGGCGTAAAGCATGTACACACTGGCCTTATATGCTATGAAATCGTGATGCCTATGCGTTGCTGCACATATTTTTCATTTTTAAATGCGGTACCTTTCTAAGCACAGTGCCCTGCGGGCGGTTGCTTCTCAATTGCCTCTTTATGCACATAAATCGCTATTCCCCACTTGGATGAAAAGCAGAAATAATATTTGGGAAGTTTTGGATCACATGATACCTAGTTCAGTGACGCGCAGGTCCTGTAAAACATTTATTTCTTTATTAAAAAGTGTATTCTCTTTCAACAACGCTGAGGTTGTTCATTGAAGGTTCGGCTAGACGAGAAATAAAAGCTCACTCGATAAAACATGGTCGACATGAAACACGAGTAATTACATCGGCGTGACCACTGTGTCATTCAGGTTAGGTGCATTTTTAAGTCGCCCTGTCCCCGAGGCCTACCAGTTGTGCCTATCACTACAAGATTCCGTCTTGTGTAACGCTTCGTCAACCTATCAGATAAGTTATTTTGTCGTGCCACGTTATCATTGTCTCCTGTAGCCGCAACTATATTTTTATTATCACGTGTTAAACCATATCACGGTCAAGTACAGCTGTTAAATGTTTGGTCGCTTATCTGCCGCCAGGAGCATTGCCCTCGTCGCCTCCCGCAACTTCCCTGCAAGGCTTTTAGTTTCACAAACAATGTCAGACGCAATGTTCAAGCTTCCTATTCTTGCACTTCTGTGCTTGGTTTATGCCTCTTCGGAAGAGCTTGATTTTTTCAGTGATTGCGTAGATGAAGTAGAACAAAGGCAATATCCTGGGCAATGCGTATTCGTACCATCTGGGTGGCTTGGCTCAAGTACGTACCGAAATTTCGCCCACCGTGTATTGTCAAATGCCACACTTCAACCTGCTGCTGGCAATCTCAACACGCTTCTTGAAGTTACGCGAGCAGCGACGCACGTAAGTTGTACGATTGTATTACTTGTTGTTAATTTGCTACTCTCAGCCCTGTAGCAAACATCTCGCAAGTCTATCAGTTAAGCCTTTTCCTTCTGCAGTGCAATGGATTTACTCACACCCACAAAGCTTGTTTTCTTTTCCAACGTGGAGTGCATTAGGCTATAGCCACCGTAGAAAACTGCGTGATTTTGTGTTCAGTAGATATTCAAGTCCGGACTTTTGTTGTTGTTTTTCCTGATCATTATCACACCTATCAGATATTGACGGCTTCATTCTGAATGTCTGGATTTTAACTTTTGGTAGTGTGGAAAAGTGCCGCAAAAGGGTAGTTACTTTTCGGCTGCAACTTAAGGCAAGCATATTGGTTGGGATGCAGCTGAGAGGACAATCGGGGATCAGCAGATAGACTGACTGCTGATCACAGGAGCTTTGCCATCCCTTACAGCTTGAAATACAGCTCTGCTGTTTACGAGCGTCACATAATCGTCCGCACTAGTACCGCGGCATCTTCCCACACGTTATTTCGCAAGTCGTAGAGATTACGCTGACATCTTCACCTGGCGTGCACTATGCACACGCTGCGCCATGGTAAGGTAGCAAGTGGTAGCGTGGCGTTTGAAAGTTTGGCGCTTGTAGTCCACTTCTCGCTGCTGGATGGCACTGGAATATCGATTGCAACTCATGCCGTGCAACATATGCATGCCCAAGAAACTTTTCTGCGTAGAAATGTACGGGAAGCTGCAAAAATACTCCAACCTGAAAAAATAGCGAGAGCATATTTCACACACCATTTATTTTATGCTTTTCATTCGTGTATCATACATCACGCATGCTCAATGCAATGCATTAACATCCCCTTGCTGTAATAGCGGAGACACGTCAGCCACAACTTAGTTAATGCCACATTGTATGATGCACCTGCTCATGTTTTAGCACGAGTTTTCAGCTAATACATCTCGTGTAATTGCTTAAACTGAACACATTATTGACATTCCGAAGAGCTCAGTGAAATATACATGGGTTTTCGGCACCCGAGCGTCCTGCGTAGAGCGTAAACCACGCTATCTTAAAATAAATGGACCTGCACGCTTGCAGAGTTTATAAGCCCTTTAGTCACCTGCATTGCAATCTCGGGCCTTAGAAACAGGCATATTGAAAGTGTATGGTGCTCATGGACTAAGCATAGGAGGTTTAGCTGATGGCCACTCTTGAATGATTAGTCTCGGACGCTCATGTAGTACGTTGCACTATCACCGCCACCTTGCAGTGGTCCCCTGTGTAGTGCACCTTCATTCATTACTTTCCTGAAATTATCTTCCCAGCTCGGTAACGACGTGCCGTTCCTGTTGGTGATTCGCATTGGATGTCTGCATGTCTTTTCTCTAGTTCTGTCATGAGAGAGGTCAAATGAAAATGTAGATATCACTTCAATGTGTTCATTATTAGCCACATTATAAGAAATATTGACTGTGCCTATATTATTTCAAAGCGTACGTTCAAATTTAGCATTAAACTACTTTAATTGCGCATAGTGCTCAGAAAATGAGGTCCATTATTGCTTGAAAATATATCTCAATACTCAATATGTTTGGCTCCCGCCAGGATTTAGAAAATGTTGAATATTTCCAGTAAGCAGGCCAATTGTATCTGCATTGTTCTGTTTCTTTTTTACTCTCAAATCGCACTAGGTTGAAGCAATCTGCGACACCACTTGTCAATTTCCTAGCGAAGGAAAGAATGTATATTCTCAAGTATGGCTGCTTGCTGGGTTAGTTGGTTCATTTAAATATAATACACAGCAAAAAAAATTAAAAAAGACCGTGCCAACAGAATCCATGCAAAGCTTTGTATGGTATATGTGTGTCCTAGTTTTCACTGTCACATGTGATCATGTTTCGACTTTTGGGTATATGGTTCCTCTTCAGCAAAAAAGAAAGAATATTAAAGATGAGTTCAGTGGCTTCCTAAATAAAACAGGAACATGGCTTTCAATAAAAGTGCAGCGTATTTGTAAGTAGCGCAGCTGGTTCACTGCTGGATTTACTGTCCCCTTTGTGTTTTTTTAATTATGGTAAATATTTATCGCTGGGGGTGTAAAGTGTGCACAATTACGATTGTGCGACTCTGAGAAGTACCCCCGATAGAAGTTTGCCAGATGGGAACGAAACTTTAAAATGAGGACAAAGAGCAAGCGTTCTCTGTTGCATGCAAGTAGATAGCCCGATTTTCAAATGCACAAAAAATTGTCGTTATATACAGACGGAAAACCCTGATGCTGCTATATACCGCCCACAGTTTATATATACACGGAACAGAAAGATAGGCCATGCACAATATTGTTGACGTAGCTGCAGAAGCCAGGGGTGTCGCGAAAACTATGCTCCAAAATCGTTGCCATGCTGCTCTTCTATTTAGATGCACACCACAAGACAGCAACTAACGGATACAATTTTACACCAAAATTTAACCATTCTTTATCAAACAAGAGGTACTTTCCTGCAAGTACACATTCCAGCTCCACGATTCACATCCGAATACTCGGTGTTTGCAAAAACATGTTTTAAAAAAGATAGTTGGCCCTACACGACTCTCTACCCCTCCTACTGCCCCTTCTGTGGATCCGTACCGACGGTTTACTACTCCACGTGGGAATGCTCTGCCCCACAGGGCGTTCCACCCATTCCCTATCCCACCAATTCCTCTTGGGAGTCCATACTGCTCAGCTTACGTCGGCAGGAACAGCACATCTGGTCCAGCGGGCTCGCAGGGTCGCGCATGGCAATGGAGCCCTGGATTGAGGGCTCGACCTAAGGAAGGCTCAGTGTGCATTTTTTATTAATAAATGTTTATTCTCTCTCCTATTGGCCCAACACTCTCAGTAAGGTGCCGGATAACGAACAAGACATAGGCAGCGCGCTCCTGCATACTGACTAAAATCCTGTCTATAGGGAGCCCAGCAATAAAAAATACCCATGACCTCCGTGCAGCAAGGGCATCACTCATACAGCCGGTAAGAGCAGGCGCAAGGAGGAAAAAAAAGAAAAAAAGGACAGAGCTGCCCTCTCCGTCACGCCAGCCTGGCGCCAGGAGACGGCATCAACTTACGCAGAATCGTTCAGCCACAAGCGCGAGCACGGAAAACAAAAGGCAGCATATACACGGAGTGAATGATGGAGAGTGTGCCAGAGCATCCGTTCGTCCATTCGTTCTTGTTTCCGTCCATCCGTGCCTCCATCTGTGTGACCGTCTGTGCGTCCATCCGCCCGTCCATGCGTGCGTCTATTCGTGCCTCCGCACGTTCATCCGTGCGTCCTTCCCTGCGTCCGTCCATGCATCCGCCCCTGCGTCCGTCCATGCGTCCATCCGTGCGTCCATCCGTGCAACTGTCTCTGTGTCCGTTCGTCCATCTAGTCAACACTCCAAGTACTACCATCTCGCAACTTTTCATCATACATTCCGCATATAGAAGCACCGCCATCCAGCGGACATTCCAAGGACTAAACGAGAGGTGGCGCACGCACACTTTCTTACTGCTGGTGCTTCGTGTCTACTTCCCACCTTTAACCACCAACTCAAGTTCATGGTATATACTCGTTCACTGTATCCATGGCACTGCGGCCCAACGCTCGCTAAACCTTTTTAAAACCAAGGAGGTTACGCCCAGCGAGTATAACGTAGCAACCATTTCTTGTTAGATAGTGCTCAATGTACATGCCAACGACAGCTTATGGGGAATGAGAGACAGAATAATTCGGCTTTTAGTTAACGCGCACGCTGCGAATTTTTTATTGTTCGACAACGCACACGAGAAATCTCTCACCGGCACCCCCTTGCAGGTCAAAGCGTAAGAAATGTTACGCACTACTACGAGGGACGAACGAGTGCCGTTTTAAGGAGCTTCGCTCCTAAAAAAGAAACACGAATGCTCTCTCCCCTTCCTACCATCGCCACACCAGCTGGGCGTCCGGCGCCGGCGTCACGTTCACCGTCCCCTGCATGCCGTGGCATTTGTGTGTCGTCATTTCGTCCCGCTGTCTTATGATGGTCGTTTTTCTGCAAGATGGTCTGGCACGGAAACATTTTCCAATGCTATATGGCACGCTTTATTCAAGATATCATACATCTCTCCTCATTTGGGCATACACTGGGATATGCAGACCCATTGTTCCTTTTTTCGACTTCAATAAAAGAGTACAGACAACTTTCCGTTCATCAGTTGTCCAGGTATGACGCTGTCTCATGCATTAAATAGGAGCGTAATAGTGCACGCGCGCCAGCTTACTGAAACGCTGGCCTATGTATGTAGATGCTCATGTTTTATGAAACAAGTTGAACTGATGATTTTAGGAAAGCATGGCAAAAAAAGAAAGAAACGGAAGGACGCGAGACAAAAAAAGATCAAATTGAAAGTCGATTGGTCGATGTTTGATTAGTGGTTGCGTAATTTGATGATGAACATCAAGTACAAAAGTCAGAAGTCATGTACAAACGTCAGCAGGAGAGCCCGCCGTGGTCGTCTAGTAACTAAGGTACTCGGCTGCTGACCCGCAGGTTGCGGGTTCAAATCCCAGCTGCGGTGGCTGCATTTCTGTTGGAGGCGGAAATGTTGTAGGCCCGTGTGCTCAGATTGGGTGCACGTTAAAGAACCCCTGGTGGTCAAAACTACCGGAGCCCTCCACTACGACCTCTCTAGTAATCAATAATGGTTTTGGGACGTTAAACCCCACATGCCAATCAATCAATCAATCAATCGAAGTCAGCAGGATAGCGTACGTCACCGATATTTGCTCACTCTTTTGAATATTAGGTGCATTTCTTATATTCCAGCATGGATTTGTAACAATGAACTGCGACTAAGAAAACCATTGTAGTGCTGTGGAGATAATGTACCAGCTATAAAAATCCCCATTTTATGAAGAGCAACTGCTAGCAGTAACAATAAATATTTCGAGGTTCATTCAGCACAATTTCTTGACCACAACTGTACGCCGACGTTCGCGAAAGAGACGTGCAGATGCATTATTTATTTGGAGGAAGACCGACCGTTCCGTCGCTATTTTGTATACGTCATCCTTGACATTGGCGCGCGTTTCGGCATTCACTTGAACAGCAGCGTGATGCTGAATAAAAGTAAGAGTAGCCACTCCCCATAAATAGGATCAGTTAAAGACTGAAAATGAGTAAAAACCACTCTATATAGCTAAATTATGCGGATAAATTCTAATTGCAGAAATAAGTCATTGTTGAAATGACAAAAAGGCGCTGCTTCCCCAGCGTGCAGCTCGCAGCAGTTCACGCGTATGAAATGCAAATGTTACAGTATGGCCACGCTAAAATACCCATGCAACGTTTACGTCCGAAAGCGCATTGTCTTCAAACAGCTGAGAATAGGCTGCTGTCACTGACACGCGTGTACCTTGCGACACAAATCAGCGAATTTTCTCACAGCACAGGCACGTGTGGGAACCGTACGCAAGTTTCGGCAGCCGAACACAACCTCGTCCGCCAATTTTGGTGAGCCTAACACCCGCAGTTCACGGGGAAGCACTAAAACGACATACAAACACACGTTAATCGTTCTTGCGGAACGGCGCACCATGCATGAACCGAAGTTGGAGCCGAAAGCGCTCTCCGTGCTTGTCTCGAGTTTATGAAGCCCTACAAACTATTTGCTGATCAAATGCATGCAGATGGCACAAAAACAGTTCAAGGTTCTGAAGACGGTTTGCAGAAATCCACTTGGTAGATATATACCCCCGCAAGAAGACTCGCCTTTATGCGGTGGCACTGTGCTGCAATGAGTAAGAAATCCACTTTACGTGCATGTGGTCCCGAGTTCAATTTCAGGGCTGTGCTTTGCATTTTAATCTCGTAAATATAAGAAATTGTGATACTAAAGGCTTTATAATTACCTGTAGTCGTTATACGCGCCACATTCTCGGCGAGAAACCGCTCTCAAAAGCATAAAATAATGCTTTCTTTTTCGCCACCACATCAGGGCCGCGCCGCCTACGGAATGTCACGCCTAACCCCAGGCCGTATCATGCGAGAAAAAATTTGACCTAAACTCCCAGCTGATCTTTGTCCCGGTCATTTTGAAGGCCTCTTCAGATCGGGCCGGTTTCTCTGGGACACGGCTATGGAGCCTTGTAGAAGTGGCGATAATTTGACTTGATGTCCTGCCTGCGGGCGTGTTGTCTAGCCAGAATTTGACTAAGAGTGTAGAGGCTGTTTACCATCACTACATACTTTCTTTGTTTTTTATTTGACGCAGGTATATGAAGGCATCGTGGTAAGAATTGAGTTCACCACCATCGAGAGCTCCTGCGCCAGCTCACATGCCTATTCTATGGAGCAGTGTTCACCCCGAGGTAGTACGGTAAGAATTAAAAGAATACCGCGAGGAAGTGCCCAGTCGCTGGGCATTAAAAGAAGCACAGTGCTACAGGCGTACCAGTTTGGGAAGTGACAGCTTTGTTCAAGTCAACGCTCAAACATCGTCAATTTCCTTACGCACTACGCTGCTGTAAGCATCCGTCTACTCGGTGCATTCATTCCACTAATGCAGTGGGTCGTTTGAAATTGCTTTTGGCCATACGTTATCAGAGAGCTGCGGGATAAAATGAGCCACATAACTCAAAAATAATATCCAAAGACCACAAGACCACTTTATTTCAAAAAGCACGCTTTCTATTCTTTATTCTATATTTCTAATTTTTGGCAAGTACTTATACTGCAAAGAAACAGGGCCAAGAAAACATTCTGCACGAATAGGTTGAAGCCTAACACTGTGTTAATTTCCAGGTGACTCAATGTTTTCAATTGTGAACGCAAGTACCTGCCTCTGTGATTGCATTCCAATAAGGGTAAAATGCAGAAACAGCTTCAAGCATAGACCTAAGGGCATGATGAAGGACCCTAGGTGGTCAAAGTATATGACCACAATGATGTTTATGGTGTCCAATATTACATCAGAGTTTGGCAGGTAATATGATATAATTAGCTTTTTAACTTTATTCATCCATCTGGAGTGTGGTATTCAGCTTAGGCCTGATAACTTTATCTGTTGCTATGCAATTAAGTTACGATGCTTTGCTTCGGTTTCTGTGACTTCAGTTTTAGTGGAACATTTTTCGTGTCAGTCCTGTTTAGAGCGTTTACGTAGACTTGTGTAGCCAATGTAAATAAAGCATTGACATTCAGTGTTATTGTGAAACGTGTTCACTTGTACTGCAAAAAAGCAGCAATGACATAGCATGAAGAAAGTTAATACAACTTAAATTTGGATGAGAAACTGAATCGCTGCATATTACCAAATAAACACAAAATTATTGAGTTCGTTAGCAGCCTTTTGTGTGAAACCAAGGTTTTTATTTTTATTTCCCAGGTGAACGGGCTATGTCAAGCCAGGTTTCGTTACGCTGGTGACCTGACCATGGAATATGCGCAGTGTAATTCACTGAAATAAAAATACTTTAGAAAGTTTTCGGTAATAACAGAAGTCTTGATTACTTCCGCAAGGTAGGTATTCAAAATCCAATAAGAAACGAAAATAAACTTGTTTAATAAATGTTTTCTTTGAAAATATCACAATTCAATGCACACATTTTATGTGTTTTGTAACAATAAAAAATAGTGATAACTCTTGTGTTGATTAACCACTGTGAACCGAAACTGGTCCCGTCTTCTAGATGAGGAGTAGTGTTCAAAGTCACCGTCATCAAGATTCGTCGAATGCTCAATAAAACAATACCATAACATTTTGAACTATATTTACGTTCGTGAACTCCAAATTGTTAAAACTAATTAGACGGCCCATATTGCAGCTTGCCCCCAACACCATCAAGCTTTGGCAGTTGGTGATTTTACATTATGAGATTACTTCTTGTTTCCAACAAGCAATAAAATGACCGTTAAGCGACATATGGTTGTTAGTAAATTAAATAAGCCCAGGTAGTCAAAATCTCCACAGTCCTCCACTATGGCGTCTCTCATAATCATACGGTGGTTCGGGACGTTAAACCCCAAATATCAATCATTAATTAAGGGACAATAAATATGTACATTATTTTGTCCTATCTAATATATTAGACCCGTGTAATAACCAGTGCGTCATTCCTGGTAGCCTGGTATGAAAAGAGCATTTATGCCTGAGAATAACAAGAAATTGTGAAATTCGTTCAGCTGCCCTCAGCGTTTCCCCATGGGTACCTCATTTACTGAAGTCATATCACCTATTTTGATCTCTTTTTTGCGAGCATGGTATATAGATAAAACTTTCATTAGATAAACAAGGACATCAAATAAATATGTACAAAGCAACACCTACTGTTCAGTTAATTTTTTGTTCTTCAAAGAAAGTCATGGGGTGTTACGTAATGATAACATCACAGCGGTGAAGACAACATGAGCGCGCCACATGATAACATAATAATAAGTAATAATAGTATTACCTTGTTTTAACGTCCCAAAACTACAATGTAATTATGAGAGCTGCCGTAGGGGAGAGATCCCGAAATTTCGACTATATCGGATTCTTTAACGTGCACCCAAATCTATGTACAAGTGCTTCTAACATTTTCGCCTTCATTGAGAATGGAGCCACCACCGCCAGGATTCGATCCCGTAGCCTTTGGGTTAACAATCGAGTGCCATAACCACTGGACCGCCGTGGTGGGGCAACGCTGCGAATAGCTCCACGTAGAAAACAGTAAGGAACTTCTATATTTAGAGGTGAAAATACGGGCGCTGTTGTGGAAATACATTCACTTGTGGTATAGGATACCTGCGATTTGGCTCTGTAGCGTTCGCTCCAACGCCAAGAAAAGTTGTCGCTGGGTATATAACTTCATTGCAAACTTTTAGGGTCACGCTCAAGCAACGGCTCGCGGAAGAGGCCACGTACATCGCAACGCAGGGATGGGGGGGGGGGGGGGGGGGTTCACCCTCTTTAAAGCACGCCCTTTCACGCCAGTCGCGCCATCGCTAGTGATTACAAAAACGCGCTGAAATGGACAATTTTCTTCCACTTGTTCTCTAACTCAAATCTAGATAGCACCACAGCACTGTGGATGTCCCCTTACCATGGCCGTCTTTCTGCCGTGGCCTAACCGCAGCACTACTCAGCAACTGCATCTCATCGTCTACTCTGCGTCCCCGTAGCGCCAGCATGCTCGCTAGTAAAAGCGAAGCAGGCGCAGACTACACGACGCGGATGTTCAGCAGTGTTGCAGAAGGCCTTGGCAAAAAGGCGGTCATCGTAGGGAAAGTCAACATGGCGGCATCTCTGCGTGAAGCTTCCTTCCGCCTCGATGTTACCATGCCGTCGTCCTGCGTTATGTGGCTCGTAAGTTCACAACGCACGTATTTATTTGCTTTATATTTACATCCTGAAGCGTCGAGGGCAATGTATTCGTCCATATTTTGCAGTTTTTTCTAGATTTATTCCGAAGTTCTAGAAAGCAAGGCTAAGCAGGCATGACTAAATAAACACAAATAAGCTTTTTTTATTGAAGAGAGTACCTACTTGATGTCTTGACTCCAGCATCAGATTACACGAAGCGGGATAGCTGATTTAATCATTTATTGATGGCTCTAAAGATACTGGGCAAGCAGCAAACACGACTTTGAATTGAGGCGAGTGGTCATGGTCTGCACGGGTGCTGCCATGTTGAATTCTAAACCCAGCTATCACCGCTCACGGCCACGGCTCCTTCGCTCGCCGAATGCGCTTGCTTGGGCAAATGGATGGCAGAAGGCCAGTTTACGGTCACGTGATTAAACATGGCAGTTCGCGGACGCCGCTGCAGAAAATCGTCTGTAGTTGTGATCTGAGGACATTAACAGTGTATGGTCTATGTGAATTTCTTGCCGTTAGTATGCTACCTTTAGGTACCAGAGTTGTGCCACTGTTTTTCCGGGCGCCGCTCACCCGGCTTTTGATTATTCCAGCAACGCTGTTGGTCACGCGCCATCACGTGGTCATACGTAATTCAAAACACTGCGGAAAAGCCAATAAAAATTCACGGCAGATCCACGACACGAATAATGATGGGATTGGGTGAAGCTCTTGGAAGTAATACCGTGAATTTTTTTTTCGTTAATTCGCCTGATTAAATAAAACCATTGCTTTAGAAAACGCCTGGCGTCTTTCGTTAAGCAGCTGGTGTCTTCTCCTTGGTTGGCTTTAGAAACATCTGGTGTCTTTTCGTTTTGCTTTTAGAAAACATCTGGCGTCTTTCGTTGGTTTATTTCATCAATCAACGGCGTGTTGAACAAACGTTTTTTTATTATTTAATCACGCACAGGAGAAATCTCACCAGGCACTACCTTGGAGGTAAACAATGGCTGCTACTGGAAAGGAGAGACAGCAGAAGTCGGCTTTTAACATTTCTACTTCTACTAACGTTTTCTACTGGAACATGCCAATGGCTGCAATGGGGGATGAGAGACAGGAGCATTCGGCTTTTAGTTAACGCGCACGCCGCGGACTTTTTATTGTTCAAAGCACAGGAGAAATCTCCCACCGGCACCACCTTGCAGGTAAAAATGTAACACTTGTTACACACTACGACTACGACTACGAGGGACGATTGGGTGCCGCTTTAAGGAGCTTCGCCCCTAATACCCAGACGACGCTGATGCTTCACAGTGTTATGAGCGTGTTGGTGCCCTTCGCTCAGACATCGAGTGCATCCAATACGGGCACTAGGTGCGTCCTCCACATACACTGGACGTGTCCCACAGACACGCATGTCAGTGGTGGTGCTGCCCTCTCCTATTTCAGCGTCTCAGCTCCTCGGCGTGATAGGAGCAACTGATTTTCGCTCGTACATTCATAAAAATGAAAAGCGAGAAAAAAAAAGCAACGCTAGCACACCGAAGCGTGCGTGCCGCTCCTACGTGGGTGGTGAGTGGCTTTCCCGCAAGACGTTTGAATCCAAGATGGCATACCTAGACGCAACCCTGCTACCTAGAGGTAGCATATACAGTAACGCTAAAGCTATCTCCCATGAAGCGTCGCATCACGACGACTCCTTGAACTAAGGGAGACCGACAGCTCTCGCTGTGAACTGTGCGTTTCCACTGGCATTGAAAGAAATAAAGGCGGCGTTGTCTAGCCCTACAAGCGCGCATAAGCCATGTATTTTATATTACATGCATCAGTAACTTGAGCTTTGCAAGTGTTTTTTGTTCGTCATTCCGATAAGTTTATTTATCGCTCATGACGAATACCACGTGCTATCAGCAAGCGTGAGCTCTGATAGCACCCTCTAAGCATGGTTAAAAGCAGCATCGCAGCCCCGACCGCTTTCTCAACCAAGCCAGCCAGCATCGACGGCTCATTCTGCTGCAACTGCGAGCATTATTTCGGTGTCAAGCCCATCGCCACGAATTCGCAAGCCGCTCTTTGAAGGAAACGACAACCGTTGCAACAAAACAAAATGTTGAAATTTGTCTTGTTCCCTTTGCTCTGCTCTGTTGCCATCGCTTGCCAGATGGACGACTTTTTCACCGGGTGCGTGGAAAAACCCGAAGATGAACAGAAGCCTGGTGACTGCATCATCGCTCCCGAGCAATGGCTTCGTTCGAACACTTACCGATACTTCGCCCACCAAGCCCTGGAGAACTCCACCGTTCAACCGGATCAAGGCAACCTCAACACCCTACTTGACGTGACTCGTGGGGCGGCTCGGGTAAGCACTTCTTTGAATGAGCCTTCCCTGGCATTATAATGAACTCGAAGTGGTTCTTACGTGACTAGGTATTGCGAAAATTACTTTGCACACATGACACAAACACACGGCTATTGTCTCCTCAAGTTTGAAGGGGAAACAACACCGCGTTGCCGAGGAGAAATTGTGAGCAGTCGCTAATACGCATTGTGACCTGTACTGGCACATCGACCACTCTATTAGAGGGTGTTGTGAAGTGCATACTACTGCTGTTTAAACTGGCCTAGAGATGGAACGTTAGCAATGTGTACTGTATTGTTTGGCATGGCCAAGAAGTAAAACGTTACACAGATTATGTCACATTTGGTGTGCAGCGGAAAGCCGTGCTAGTTGGTACGTATTTGCGGCAGACTACAGCGTAAGAAATGCAAAACGGACACTGAAGACACATCAACGGTGACTGGTGTTCCTTTATATCTGTTGCGTATGCTTTTTCCGCTGTAGTGCTTCATTCGCCTTGGTTCTAATGCATCGCATCATTGGTTGGCGTAGTCAGCTGCGAAGCGGTTGCAGTTTATTGCTCGTCTTTCCTCTCTTCCTTATTGCATGCACTGTATATTCATTCCGAGAAAGATGAATGTGGTGTCAATTATTTGCTATAAAAAATTCCGTGTGCAAGAGCTCCTTTTAACACATCGAATCTACACACCTCCATAACGACAGGTTGCGGGATCGAATCCTGGCTGCGGCGGGGGCATTTTCGATGGAGGCGAACATACAGCCGCCCGTGTGCTCAGATTTGGGTGCACGTTAAAGCACCCCAGGTAGTCGAAATTTGCGGAGCCCTCCCCTACGGCGTGTCTCTTAATTATATGGTACGTTGAACTCCACAAATAAAATCAACCTCCAAAACGACAATACGCAATCGAGTGTCTGTTGCACGTGTGAAGCTTGACAGCGGAGCTGTTTCGGTTGGAGGCTTTCATGTCGAGGGGCTAGCGTAGATCGGAACCACCACTCCCGCCTTTCGCCACTACGCCCGCAACTACTCTCGTCACTAATTGCACTTCATGAACACAATTTATTAAACCAGAATAAATGTGGTGAAGCGAAGGCTTCTTTGTAAGATATTTTAGGTCGTCCATTGGTGTTCCGCTACCTGTAGCTGGCTTATTCTATTTTTCGTTTTTAATAGTTCTGCTTTATCATTTTATTATTCGTCATCTTGGTAAAAATTTAGCATATGAAAATTCGAGGAGTTGAATCCGCTTACCCTTCAGATTTCGCATTCTCATATCCAAGACTGTGCCCGCTGTGCTCGTGTCTGCCCTGCAAAACGTGTCTGTCCTGTAGAAAACCAGCCTTGCTGATTGCGGCTAACATTTTTTATCATTTAACACAGATAACATCTACTTGATAACTGTTCTATGAGGCTTGGCTCCGTTGTTGTACGTTACGGATCGTTTCTCGATTTTCTTTTTCTGAGAACATTCGAAAATAAGTTATATCATGTGAACAATCCTTGCATTTTTTTTTTCGATTCTGCGCAGCTCTCTGATGGCATTATAGTCAAGGTCCAGTTCACCACTGTAGAGAGCATCTGCAGCAACACCGTGCCGTACTCCGAGAAAGATTGCCCACCACTCGGAACTCAGGTGAGACGTTGGAAGCATCATTTTTATCTTCGGCAACACACCTTCTGTTGGCACTTGCGCTGCAGAAGCGTCACTGTACGCATGACATCCCTGTGTTAACTTTACTAAGCTTTAGCGGGGCGCATCCTTTGCAAGCTTGTTAATTAGAAGCAAGAAACACAGCACGCATGCACTGATATCGAACTGAAAGTACCGCACAAATAAAAAAACTGTTAAAAATACGAAATGCATACATTATCGCTTGCTTTCTAGTAGCCACGCTACGCAGTGTAGCAAGTTGTCCCGAGTACCAGACGCCATGTATGAAATTATATAAAATGATTATATTATAGAAATATTATGGAATTCAGTTGCATTTAACGTCTGACATGGTTGATCAGTGTCTAAGGTGCTACCTACTGACCCGAAGGTCACGGGTTCGACCCCGGCTGCATGGAATCAAAACGGTGAAGGCTCGTGAACTGTGTCAGTGCACGTTGGAGAACACAAGGTTGCACTGACGTCAATGTACTTGGCCTAAACTTGGTCGATATTCTTGTTGTTTTGATGTCTCGTTCGTATTCGCTTATAAACTTGCCTCTGTGTTGGCTCCTTAATGCAAGCAATTTTTTAGTAGCTTCAGCATGACTACTACTAAAGTTGCAATAAACGGACGTTTTGTTTAGAGGCCATCTTCCACGTCAGCAAACTTCCTGTCCTACCAAGTGTGCCGTAGCTGTGCTTAAGAGGAGCATATCTATTCGAATTTTTAAAAAAATCAATAGGCATTTTGTTTTACTGCTGTGGTGTTGTGTCCAAGCTCGAAATGAGAGCATGCTTAAATACATGAACCAAGTGAGACTTGAAACTGGCTTATATATAAAGAAATTTTTTTCACAGGCTAATGGAGAGTGCTGGGCAATGTTTAGGTATTTTGGTTACCTGCGACTTGAGGACGCCTGTTGTACCCACACGCCCCAAAAATGAAGTGGCTTTCCGGCTTCGAACGAGACATGTCTAGACTTTTCTACCACCAATTTCAAATATGACAAACGCTTCAGCGTAGTTCCTGCACCAATTTCAATCATTCCTGTATATATTGAATAAAAGTCATCTGCCATACTGTATCTCCTCTGTTGTGGAACTCGTTTTCTCGCATGCTATGCTTCACTACAACCTCCATTCTTACAATTACCCATTGATTCAAGAACAATATCGTACCTTGTTTTCGATTTTTTGCTTTTATATCACACGCTCGCTGCTTGCAGGTGGTGGACGCTAAGCGTGCGACCATCACTGCGTATCGTTGATGCGAAAGTGCACAGAGCTAACTTGCACAGTAAACACACTCGAGCGAGCCAGCTAGCTGTTACCGCTTCGCAACAAAGTGACTTTTTAAGGTGTGCCACAATTCCTGCAGTGTGCTCTATAAGGCAGTCTTATATCTGGTCTTGTATTGCGGCTAAGCAGTCCCTCATCTCAAAAGGTCGTGGATATTTATGTACTACTATACCAAAAGCAGAGCGTGCTTCAAACGTGCACGCTTGTCTCTCTTTTTCACACATCCGCTCACTCATCTTTACGTTTGGCGCACCTTAAATGAGGTTCCCTCCTTAAAGCGCGTTTTCTAGGGCGTTTCTTATTGCGATAGCAAATATATAGATCCTCTCGTCTGGATTTCACCGTCGAAGTCATGCACAGTATATGTATACGCATCTCTATACTTGACAACGCAATAAAGAAAAAATCCTAGAAGAAATACTCCAGTGCACGGAATTGAACGGGGGACTTCCACGTCGTGAATGCGAGGAGTTAGCCACTGAGCCACCGCGAGGTACCTACTTCTGCGTTGAAACGGCAATCAATTCATATCTATCACTTACCGCTGTTGGCGGGCATCTCGAGGGGGTACTAACGTGTTTTCAGAATTATCAGCAAGATGGTGCAGTGAGCACGCAGCTGCTCTAGTGTCTCACGTGTACTTTGCCTCGCTTAGAGAATGACGGCGTGTGCGCTCGATCGCGCAACTTTGCAGTGGGGAGAATCGTACGTTTTGGCTTGCCTTTGTGTTTCGTCGGAACGATTCTGTTGTAGTTACTGGGCGCGCAAAAGTCACTGCAATCATTGCAAAGCCTCCATTTGCGAAAAGGGTGCGCTTTTCAGACGCAGTGAAGTAACAACTGAAACGCCTATTCAAGTTTGTCGGTACCTGTCAGTACGTTTTGTGCGTCCTTTGTGCGCGATAAATGCGCGGCACGTATCGATCTGCTTGCCATTGTGCGCGTGACCTTCCGATTTGTCGCTATCGTGTTTATTTCTTTGCGTTTGCGGCTAAGCTGTAACTTTTTAAAGCAACGCTCCCGGTTATTTCTTTTTCAAAGACGTCTCCGCTTTTCTATCAGTATAGCATTTTTGGAAAAAAATAAAATGAGCACGATGCATGCCAATTAAAATTTAACACTCTACAAAGGATTGATCCTCTTCCTGTAGTGAGATACACCACAGCTCTGGAGCCCTTCGCATGTAACTCTCGGTCACACCAAGCTCTAATAGCATGTCTATATTCTTTCTTCCACATCGATCCGTACAGGCGCTCTTCCCATCTCACCATTTGCTTTTTTGTAACACACCGGAAAAATGGCAGTACTGTGCTATCAGTATGTCAGGATTTCACTCTTCCCCGCTACGCGCTATTATCTTGGAATGCGAAGTCGAATACGGACAACGAAGTGAAATCTGTAGTAACGCGCGTCATGTAAAACAAAAGGAAATGGCCCTGCAGATGGTAAAACAGTGTAAGACACAAATTGCAACTAGCTTCTCTCGCATACGGAGCCATCAAGAGCTTATATCTTTACGGCATTACATTTACAGAGTGCTGGAGGCGCCAATGTTCCCAAAAAGAGTGAAAACGACCGGAGAGAATAACGCGCTCGTGCTCAGTATTCTCGTGTGTTTTGTAAGACCATTTAAGCATCCTGCAGCAGCCTTAGTTGCCTTCACACAGACGTGGTTGCCGTCCTCAGAAGCCTCAAAATAAGTTTCTTGACCGTCCAACTTGGTGGCCTGTAAATTTCGGTGCCAGTAACCTTCTGACGTAACGACGCGAAATAGGCTGCCGAAGTAATATAAGTCCTACAAATGGAACAGAAGCGTTTAGTTAAAGGGGTAGTGAGAGAATTTTTTTTTCAGTTTTATTTTTTACGTCAAATGAAAGGCCAGCCCCCTTGTAGCCCAGCAAATGTGCCGGCAAGCGTGAGTGCACCCTGAAAAAACAATTACAGCTTGTTATTAAAAGCTAGTTTAGGTTTCTATTGTACCCGGACGTCACAACATAGCGTCAGCCGAATGTTCAAATTACATAGATCGCGAAACTAGGAAAGTAAAGTGCCGAAAATCTATTGCCACTGGCATTAACGCCCGCCAATATTTGAAGCGCACCTAGGTGAGGAGGTACAAACTATCAAAACCAAAAACACGTTACAATTACTTTTCAAATACTCTCAATTTCATATATGTCAAAGTTAACTATGTATTGACTTTACGGTTTATGTGACACTTGGCTAAATGGCTGATTGCCTCATTTTTTTTTTGGTCTAGTGCCTGAAGTGAGGGGGCGTGTTCAGGCAATCTACTCTCAGGGCTTGTGTTTAGTCCGTCGTAATGCCGAGTCAGCAAGGCATAATTCCCTTTTGCATGGTGCTTTTGTGCGTAGCTTTGATTTTGTGCTGTTCAGTAGCGTGAAATCAGAACTGAGCTATTTCTCACAGAATGTGTAAATAACCACTCCTGTAAGAGTGGACTACCTTCGCTGGCGCACCGCCTGTGGTGACGGTGAATGTGAGATGCTAAGCAACAAGACGCTGTACTGTACGGCGAGGCGGAAATGTTGTAGGCCCGTGTGGTCAAATTGGTGTGCACGTTAAAGAACGGCAGGTGGTGGAAATTTCCGGAGTCCTCCACTACGGAGTCGCTCATAATCATATCGTGGTTTTGGGACGTTAAACCCCACACATCAATCAGCTGTACTGTACGGCTGCCATTGCTATGTTCTTAATGCTGCAGCCTCTCCGCTGTGATTTTCTGTGATTGGACAACGTGAGTATTAGAACTATTGTGTTATTGTGCTCTTGATATGAAAGATTAATAATCTGCAATGTTTTCAGTGTAGGTTGCAAGCACGCTATTTGGGTAATAAATCAACCATGCTTCCTTAATCTTTCCTGTTGGTCTTCCTTTTCTCTCGCACATACAATCAGCGAGCTATAAGGCGACAAAAAATCACGTACCTCTAATGACACGTAAAAGGTCAGCAATTAAGAAAATTGCCACTGTTCACGCCATGTAGGAGATGTGCACGACGTCGCTACCACTTCCAGATGTGTCATCATATTTTATTTTTGTTTCTTGCTAGTTGTTCGCTACTGCGTAGATGGCAACGATGGCAACGTGCCGCCAGCTACAGAATACATGGGGTTATATTGAAATTACACCACCAGTTTACATATGCCTTGTCAGCAGCCCCACCTAGCGGTTGGATGTGCATGCCCACGTTTTGGTGACGTATCTTTGAGCGCGCGTAGCTTCATCGTCGATTTCTCTACGCCGCACGTGTGGCGACTGCTGCGCCGTCACTGATGGGCGAATATTTGTCTACCGATTCAGACAAGTGAAATGACGTCGTCAAAAATAAAGATGCCGAGCGTGCAGACCATGCTAGCTATATTGAGTTTGACCCCCTGCGCGCTCGTCAGAAGAGTCATCTGATAGCGATAGCGCCATGCAGCATGAGGGCTTGCGTATCAGGAACGTTGAAATGGTAAGAATTCCGTTTCTTTTTCTTTTGCTTGGGTATCTTCCAGGTGCTATTCTGAAGTCAGTAGCGTATGTGGGGGTTTTAATCGTATGGGTTGCTTGGAGTTATTGGTAGTTGGCACAAAGTTGACACCTTATGCATGGATGATTTGTCCTTTCCGCTTTTCTATTAAGCCGCACTGCACACGCAGGATGCCAACCTCTGGCTGTTCGCAAACACTGAACATTACATAGTATTTGGCGTAGGTGTCTCTGTGGGAGTCGCGACCCAACGGAGACAGAGATGGACTCAGTGGGCTGCCGAGAAATCGAGAAAGTCGGCGCCCTAGAACCGGATGAGGCAGATTGTGTCACCGCACACTCGACGTTGCAGCATCGGTGCTTCGACATTCACGCACTTGAACTTGCATATTACGCCTTGATAATAGATTGACACGGCGTCATTGAGGCACCTGCGATTCATGGGTATTACTGCTACGGTTTATCTAAGTTAGCAGTTGCTTTTGAAGCTGAAGTAGGCCAATTCGCAAGCACTCTCTGGCATGCAAAAGGCATGTCTTTGGTATACTTCCTGAAAGTTGTCTCTCGCAAGTACGACGAGTCGTCCACGCATGCATAGAATACGTGCATGGCCGCACATTACACGCAAAAATTGCTATGCTCGTATCTGTATCACGTGTCCAACTATTTGACGGAAAATGAAAACAGAAAGATACACATATCAGTGGCTTTGGACACCACCAGCCATCAGGCAGCGCAATATATGCGTCAACTCGATACCAAAATATGTGGCATAAAAACTGCAAGCTTAAATTAGCTGCTGCTTACACTGTTGGATACTTTTTTTTTGAAGTAAGTAACTCAATCTCGCCTTTCTCATTCTTTGTGGTTGGCTTACGTATTTTATTGTTCTTTTTTTTCACTATGAGTCGCAGTCCTTGGTAGTGCATTTGACCGATTAGGTAGAATAGGTAATTGATCAATAAAAATAAGTGTTTCTGCATACATATATTGTGAAGAAGGAAGCTGCATGCTACATGAAAATTACCTTTATTTCGTAACTTTGTATGCTCGGAAAGGCCCCTTGAATGAAATTGTGCTTGGAATAAAACTCCGTGCACACATTTGATTCACTTGCAGGATACATCTACCTTTCTTCTCGTCGCTGCATTTTACATCGTACTGCATTAATATTCCAGGCGGTATCAATACACTGCTTCTAGGAAGTTTGTCGGATAGCTCTGGAATCGCCTATGAAAAACAAGCGAGTAGTCTTGCCCAGCTGTGTCGTCTCTGGTGCGCGTCAAATTGT